ACCGAGTGCTCTGAAACTTGTGTGTTTTGTGTTAATTTTCAGCGTCAGGGTGTTTTATGTTTGGCGTTTTGGGTTTGTCGCGTGTACTGTACTACTTTGTTTAGCTGGTGTTTCTTGTCACCTGAGATGGACCTACTGTATGACTGATGCCAGCTTCTTTACTGTGCCCCGTAAATCCTCATTTGCCGCCGCTTCTCGGCCTAGAATGCACTGAGTAGGTCGGCAAACTCAGAAACCGGAATTGTAGATTTCTAATTCCGTCTGCAGATATTTTCTCGTCTCCGATGACCAATCGATAAACACGGTAGGCAAGTCTTGAGTTTTGTTTTTTTTTAAATTTAAGTTTCTTTCCTTACCTTTTATGTTTTATGGTTTCTAAAAATCTTAGATTATTTTCCCGATACGATAGTAAATCGGGTTTTAGTTTGGGATTGATCAGGAGCAGTCGCGTTTGCTCTGTGTCAGCGGCCACATCTGAGCAGGGTATACGACATTGTTTTCATTAGTGCTGGATTCCTGTCGTTTCCGGAAACAAGGCATCAAAGTCATTATCGCCCAATAAATCAATTTTGTTCACCTCAGTAATTTTACAGAATTAATTTTCTTCACTTGCGTTATTAGTATTGAAAGACAGCCATCTCATATCCAAATCACCGCAAGGACAATCCATTTGTTTCATGTAGCAGCTACAGACGACATCAATAACCAGAACCAAAGCATTTATTTATTTATAAGTCATATGAAATGTTACAAGACCAGGCAAAAATACTAAATTAATTATATTGCTGATAAATGCAGGTATTAAAAAGAAAATAGAAAAACGAGTTGATCGTAAACACCGATTGAGAATACGGGGAAACCACGGAAAGTAGTTCCGGCAAAAGTTCACACGATCAATTTCACCAAAAATTGTTCACATCGTGTGAACTTTTTTTGTCCGTTCACAGGTGTGTGAACTCCAAATATCAGATCACGTGACTACCCCTTCTACCAATCAGCATGAAAGAAACAGTGTAAACTTCAAAGTATGAAATTATATAGTGATGATGACAGGTGTTCGAGAAAATGTGAGCGTATCCCCCACACCTCTCAAGTTGTCTGCAAGATGCTTGAAAATTGCAAAGGAGTGCATATCTGTTCTCGTTATCCATAGTGGTGTTATCAATCATATAGCGACCTAAAATCATATCAAGGCCATTGTCTGCGTAATAACAGAGAGTCTGTATAGACTCTGTATAGTGTCCCTGTAATAACAACTCATCGTTGACCTAATAAGCAATGACGTCACAATCGCAAAGTCGCCATAGACGATAAGCGTTGACAGCACTTTGACCCAGTTGACATTAAATCTTTACTATATCAGATTATACAGTAAGGATAATACCGTTTATACCAAATTCGTCTTAGAATGCATGTATTTCCCTCGTTCTCTCTCGAAAAAAACCAATATTCTGCCTCTTGTTTCATATTCCAATACGACAACATCTCTTGACTTGGATTTTACTGTATTTTAATTCACTGTTTATCAGTGACATCTGTAGCGATGATGTAGATTCAACGATATAATCTGAATATTCGTGAAATTTAAAAACTAATACCGGAATGTATGTAGGTGTAGTTTACTCATGTAATGGGTATGTTTCTCGGTCATTTATATATAAATATGCACATATAAAAAGGTATGGTAGGTTCTTCTTATAGTGTTTCCAAACAAACATGGCGTCGCCCTTGTCTTAATTGTTGTAATGTTTTATCAATTTATTATAGGACAATCTAGCGGGACCCGTTCCAAGTTACTATATCTGTGCGTTAAGATCTCTGCGGCCTAGGGACCCAAATTGACAACAGTAGGATTTGGCCGAAATATTTCAACTTGATTCATATTGTCGCTGTGTCGGACACGCGATTCACTTTCGCTCTTTTTCACTGTGCCACAGCGAGGTGATGTATAGCGCTGCCATGGACATAGGTGGACAGCGCTGGGTGCCTAAGCAACGTCACGCACTTGTTCCAGCTGGTATCCAGCGCATCAGTTCCACTGGTGGCATCCGTCACAAACACATGCAAAGCCAAGTCAATTGTTCACCTAAAAAACTCAAAGGAACATATGATAGATACCAGATATCAGAATTTCGTCGAAGCCAACAAGTGGTGAGTCCCAATTCCTGCATCAACCATATGACAGTAGATTGTGAGCGTTACCACCTACCATCAGCTAAGCGACGTGAACCCGTGAAGATCCGGGGTAGAACAGGTCTTCAACTACCCATGTTTGCCGTAAAAGGCGACTATGCTTGTCGTAAGAGGCGACAAACGGGATCGGGTGGTCAGGCTTACTTAGTTGTCATCGTATCCCAATGCGTAGATCGATGCTCATGATGGCAATCACTGGATTGTCTTTTCCAGACTTGATTATTTACAGACCGCTGTCATATAGCTGGACTATTGCTAAGTGCGGCGTTAAACAACAAACAAACTAAGCGGCGCGAGACTCTTTCGATGGGGGTTTGAGCGATCACACCTTCTTACATAATTCAGATGGACGTTGATGCTGAATATAAGGATGTAGGTTACCACAATGAAAGCCTGCATCCAGTTGCATCTCCCTCGTTATATGTTCGGTGCTGTCAGATATCCTTTATAATCCTGGAAGTGCTACCGTTGTAGAGGTTGCTGTAGATGCACCGTAACCTGCAAATAACGTAGCGGTGTGAGCCGATCCTGTAAGGCGTTGTTACAAGGTCACGTGGCATTGTGCTGGCAATCGTCTGGCGATTGATGGCTCTAGCTGTGACATGATTAATGTGGTTATCATGTTAATGCTGCACATGTCGTTTATGTGCTCATTTTTATGTAGCGGGGTATATTATAAGGCTATTTTTGGACAATTGTGAGTAGCAGAATGAAGCGCTCGTAAACTAGAGTGACCCGCCGCAGTTGTTTACAGTCCAAGGATACGTCACCTTGACACCTTCGTTATCATCCTGGTACAGAGAGTTCCTCTGTGATGAGCTTGTTTACCGAGGTTGATTCTCTTCCGGGACCTACTTCCTCATTCGTGAAGTTTGTAGAGGTAAGAGTTTCTAGAAGACTGTACATATAAACAAGGGAGACAAGGGCGATTTGAGGCATTCTACTTCACTTGCGACCCATCTACTTGCCAAGTGCGGACAGGATACCTATCGGAAAGGGCCGACTCTGCCTGCTTCCAACACTATTTTCTGGAGTCTAGAACGGAGCTCGTGCCTCTTTTAAGACATTCAATTGTGACACTCGTGGGTGTACTGACTACTTATGTTTGTGAGTAAGTTTGACCTTTTTTGAAGGGGTATGTATGATCATATTCCACTTACTAAGAGGGTACATAAGGGTTCTGCTTTTGCCACACCCGATGGTTTTTATCAGGACAAGTTTTACCATTTGGGTTTAACAATCTCAATTTACTTACTTGAAATCTATTTAATGTTATTGTTGCACTGATTTATCTAGTCGTATTCAGAATGATAGATTCCAGAGACATTAAGAGTTCATCATTAGTTAACATGGCTGACTGCATGGCAGTCTTCAAGATCTTCAGAAAGTCACTACAGATGTATAGTATTGCGGCTTTTATACAAATTCTTATCAACGCGATATGTGACCTGGGCCCTTGCGTTTTGTCACAAAACATAGCAACTTACACCAGCGTTGACGGTATAACAGATTTTATGTGCGCATCCTAGACACTGACAATCTTTCAGACGATACTTGGATATCGATACTGACAGCACAAAAATGGGTGTACACGTTTTGTCACACAACAGTACATTTTGTATTGAGCCCATCCAGACTAGTACTTTTCCAGTTGTTTTGTTATTGTGTCGATTATTAAATCCAGCAAAACAGGGCTTTTTCATTTCCATGAGTACTTTAACATCAGCTTTGCGCATCCTAGACACTGACAATCTTTGAGACGATATGAACTTTCGCAAACGACGTAAACACTGACTGTGTATAATAGAACTCCCTGTGTGAGATTTTATGTAAGCACTCTCGACGCTTAAATTATTTTTACACAAGGGATAGAGAGACCGACCACTCAATGTTCTGTACTTTTTGTTAGAGACAGATTATGTCTTCTGCCACTACTTCAAGAAATACATTTCTTTCTTTTTTGTAAGGAGGAGCCGAACAAGTTTGGTTGCACAACGCGTTCGACAAGATCTCCAGCTTTGCCTGTAGCACAATTATTTCCCCAGTATTTGCAGGAGCAAATTATCTACTATTTTGAAAGTCCCAGACTCAGAATACCAAATGGTCGGTTCCTAATCTTTATCGAGCTTTAGGAAAGTGCTTGTCTTACAATTGACTCTGCTTTTGGCAGAGATTTCTAATGAACATGAAAAGGGTTTTATCGCTTTATATTATAATTTTAAATATTTCTTGACCCGGCTGTGTTAAGTATATTAACTATTTTCAATGTCTAAAGTTAATCAACTTAAGTTAATTTGAACCTTATTGACAAAGTGAGTGAGTTGGGTTAAACACCGCGTTCAACAGTTTTGGTTAGGTTTTGGTTTGGTTTGTTGTTTAACGCCGCACTCAGCAATATTCCAGCTATATGACGGCGGTCTGTAAATAATCGAGTCTGGACCAGTGATTGATACATGAGCATCGATCCACGATCCCGTTGGTCGCCTTTTACGACAAGCATAGTCACCTTTTATGGCAAGCATGGGTTGCTGAAGGCCTATTCTACCCCGGAATCTTCACGGGTCTCGCGTTCAACAGTATTCCAGTTGAATCACGACCTTTCAGCTTAATGTGGGAGGAAAACCCGAAGTCCATATTGACAAAGACAGATAGAGTCACTTTGTATATGTTCTTCGTTGTTATACCCCAAGTCAGCAATACTGATTCAAGTATGTTATATTAATCGACAGATAATTATTTTAAATATTACATTCTAGGCCAGGAAAAGTTGTGGGTGATGATTAACGCCCCAATGTTCAACAGAAGGATGTTAAACGAAAATGTTTTATTCAATATCAAACAACATGAACTAAAACTGATACACATTCCATGTTTAAAAGCTAACTCAAGTCATACTGTATGCAGTTGGCAATGGTACTTAAAACAGTTCAAATGTGAAGAGCGATGAACATATGATCAATGAATATAACATTACAATTTTGTGAAAAAATCAAATATCAAATATCATATCAAATATACTTGTAAGAGTCAAACAGATGAAACGTTTTTATCTCGACGGTTCTGTTTTCAAAACGCTACGAAAGTCGGTTCCAGCATCGAGGAGACGATGTCTCAATATTTCTATTGAGATTACAGTTGTCATGACGAAGAAATTCCAAGAGTGATGAATACACTATTATGAAGCTATTTACTGTAAACAGAAAAAAACACTTGAAAACACTACAACGCATTACCATATATAAACAGAACAAAGCACATTCACGTTTAAGACATAGTGGTTCATTGTTAACTGGAGATTATAACAAGTATAGACATTACTCCTTTCTTTTGTGGAAAACAATGTTTCTCATTTGCTAAAACTGGTTATTGTTTAGGGAAGACCTTAACATGTATCACTGCTTTGAAACGTGTTGTTCAGTGATTCATTCATGTTTTAGTCTTTGAATGGCATTTAGAAGTGATACACATAAGAGAGAGGATTCTATGGGTATCAACTTCTTTATTATGAAGAACACAACGTTTCAGAATATATGCTAACTCCTTTTTCAGGTGAATAAATTATAGGATTCAGAGCCAGCATAGATGTCATCTCTTCCAACAGCAATACCATCAAGACCCACCTTTGAGCCAATTTCTCCAGAGGGAATAAAGGTATATTTTATATCTGAATGTCTTCAGCACCATCATAGTCAGGAACGGGCTCTGCTGGGGGCGTGCAAATAGGCCTGAAACATGGGAAACATATACATTCTTAACACGTGATAAATATATGATGAGATTATGCTATTATAAAAAAATATGATGACATTATCACATTAGTCTCGTCGATCAAAACTTGGTATCAATATATAACTCAGAAGTTTAAACTAAACGCTCGTAATGTCAAATGAAATTAAATATTGTTGAAATGTATATTTCTTGTTGATGCGTTCTTATTGCTTGAGAAATATGTTTGTGACAAATAGTAATTGACAAATGTATATTTTGTTTTGTTTACCTTGGACCTGACGACACATATGATGGGTTTGGAACACCGGATGACTGCAAAGACGAGAAAGTGATACATTTACATTTGGACAGCCGTTTGTCATAATAACCAACTCATTTTGAAAGATTTGTTTGCTGGTTGGTTTGTTGTTTTACGCTGCACTCAGCAATAGTCCAGCTATATGAAGGCGGTCAGTAAATAATCGAGACTGGACCAGACAATCCTGTGATTAATATCATGAGCATGGATCCACGCAATTAGGGTCGATGACATGCATCAACCAAATCAGCGAGCCTGACCACCCGATCCCGTTAATAGCCTCTTACGACACGCATTCTACACCGGATCTTCACGGGTCCGTTTTGAAAGAATACCATCTGAATACCATATACAGAAATATCACCATTCATAATCACTTTGGGCGGTCTGGTAGCCTAGTGGTTGAAGGTTCGCTCGTTACACAAAAGGCCCGGGTTCGGTTTCCGACATTACTGGTGTTCCCCGCCGTGATATTGCTTCAAAACTGCTAAAAGCGGCGTAAAACAATAATCACTCACTCACTCAATCACTCCCTCACTCATAATCACTTATGAATCAAATATGCTTCAACTCAGTCATTATTTTATTTAAGATATTCAATATATCTAAATCACAATCTTCACAGCAAGACTGTGATATAATGAAATGTGAAATAATAATTCTTCACTGTCATGCAAACCGCCTCCGTGGTCTAGTGGTAGAGCGTCCGCCCGGAGAGCGGAAGGTCCGGGGTTTGATCCCCGGCCGCGTCATACCAAAAGACGTTAAAAGATAACACTTCTTGTTACCCTGTCTGGCGCTCGGCATTAAGGGGCTAAAACAAGGACTGGTCGGCTTGGAGTCAGTATAGTGTGTCTGAGTAGGGTATTCATGTTAAACTGCGGCACACACATACACGTGTGCATTCACGTCGCTATATAAGTGCAATATATCTTGGACGCGACGTTAAACCCAGGTTCACCTCACCTCACCTCATTGTCATGCACCCTCGGCACCCACATTTTTATGAAAGGATTTGTGTCAAGTATAATCTTATGAAATCTTATGATCTATATTTTTCACACGTCTAGACATGACACAGACGGACTCTCAGTCATTTTGATTAATTGTTATTTTAAAACTCAGTGTCAGTTGACTATCGTCTGAAGATGGTAAGAGAGTCGTACATGCAGTCCAACATTCTGTGAACGCCATGTGCCCAAAACTAACGTGTTAAATATACGATACCAGCATCCCTCCATACAGTTACACATGATCAAAACTGCCCGACAGCTTACAAAATGGTGTCAAGAATGATATGCTGTAGACTTACGAAATCTCTGTCTTTGAGTTTGTTGTATGCTGTTTCTTCATCTTTGCTGCCCGCAGCTAGTAAGTCATATCCAGATTGTTCTGATGCTTTTGTTGTTTTACCATGAGCCATATTGATATTTTCCTGATACAGTGTTCTACGTTTTACTGTCCTCCACCTGAAAGAAACAATGTTGAAAAAGAAATTGGAAACTATGTGCATTTCCCTTTTTGAACATAATGAAAATGCACGGCAGTTTTTGTTAATGATGTTAATCAGTCTCATCCTCTTTAATTGAAAGACTTGAGTCATTTGTGTACTTACTTGTATATAGCAAAAACTGCACTAATGCTGACCACTGCAAGTAGGATTGCCATAGCAATGAATAACCCAAGGAACACCTTTCTCTGATCTGAGTCCTGTTCTAGACGTGAATATTCGTGTTTAGCTACACATTCTGTTTCTGTATATCCATGTAGGGTTATCATAACTGTACACGATCTGAAACAAATATCACACACCATTCGATCGCTGCTTCAAGAAATGCATTTGTTCACTTTGTTCAAGGAGCCAAAATTTGAGCTTGACAAATTTGTTCGGAAAAGTTAATGTAACAGACATACTAGGAATGTTTCGAGGCATTTGTTCTACTGGGTTTTTTTTTCATGTACGGTATGTGTAACCTATAAATCAAGCCATCGATGTGAAACATACATACATACATGTGTCAGTATCATCCTAAATTTTTAAAATGGCTATGTGATATGTACAAACTTACCCAGTCTTCGGGTGGAGACTTCTGTCGATGGCGATTACAACTAGTTCTAAGACTCGGGGCACTGTGTCGTCAAGTTTAATGTGAACAGATATTTTCCCGGTCTGACTGTCGATCTCGAGGTTATTCTGTAACATAATGTATAACTCAAGTATGTATCATAGTCATACCACTGTCAGTTAAGATGATAATAAGAAAACTTGGAACATAGATGAATCCTTTGTCCATTGCTGATCACCTTTCGGCGCCAATTAACTGTTGGCTTCCCTTGTTAAGTTTGCACCTTTGTTATCTTATTACTTTTGCTGTCTGAGTAAGTATATCCCCAGAAACGCCGTGTTCCTCATAATAAGGACGTTGACATCCATAAATTTTCTTCCTGAGGATGAATATTAACTGGAATGTGGGAGAAATGAAGGTTTCCAGTTCAAACTGACATAAGACTATCTGCAAACGTTTTAAGCAGTGGATAATGGGAAACCATCAGATCCGGGATGATGGAAAAATGTGACATGACTTCAAGACAAGTGAATAGCTTAAAGTGCGCACCCTATCATTTCTTGTTTGTATGGCGTATGTAACATTGTGGCCGTCGGCGTCCGTTGCCCGGAAGTTGGTAATCTTAACTTCTGTACCAGTTTCAGATGAAAACTCCAATGATGCTCCATAAGCATCTGAAACATTTGAATACGTATTAGTTACTGTATACAACATTGATTTATGATATAAATATCCTTAACAAAGCAGTTTTAACAGATGAATAATATGTATAAGAAGGTAAACATGCATCAAACTGCATATTTCTAATGATTTGAGGTTGTATTACTTATAACAGGACCGCCTCCGTGGTCTAGTGGGAGAGCGGAAGGTCCGGGTTCGATCCCCGGCCGCGTCATACCAAAAGACGTTAAAAAATGGTACCTGTTGTTACCCTGTCTGGCGCTCGGCATTTAAGGGCTAAAACAAGGACTGGTCGGCTCGGAGCCAGTATACTGTGTCTGAGTGGGGTATCCAAATTAAACTGTGGCATGTGCTAGAACTATAAATCGGCATCAGTCCGGACTAATACAAGCAGCCACACACACACACACACACACACACACACACACACACACACACACACACACACACACACACAAACACAAACACATACATGTGCATGCACGTCGCTATATAAGTGCAATAATCTTGGACGCGACGTTAAACCCAATTTCACCTCACTTATAACAGGTTCTGGACAATACCAACAAGTTTCAAGTAGAAAATGGTAGCATTATGGGCGAATTTATCTTACACATAAGATTGTCGGGATAATAGTATCTTCCAGGCACTAAACTCAAACTAGTTTACCGTTTCCAAATACGGGAGTATGTTCGTTGTGATTGTCTGGTAGCACTTCTATGTGGACCTTTGTTGTAGTTGCTGGCAATTTGCTGATTGATCCTCTGAAGTTCTCCTCTTTGACACTGACAAACATCTGGTAAGAAGACAAAGTTAATTGACTTAATGGTAATTCACTGAAAACAAGAAAATTGTAGGCGATACACTTGATGCATTTACTACTTGTTACTGCAGATATATTGATTGGCCCTGTAAAGTTGCCCTCTGTCACACTGACTATCATCTGGTAAAGAGACAGCATATTTGCCTTGAGGTTAGGCAAATTGAAGCTGATACACTTGTTGTATATACTACTTGATGCTGATGGTAATATGACCAAAACAAATTGAATCTAGGTTCTTTAGAATATTTTCATATTTCTTTTGTAAGGTTACATAAACAATAATATCTCTGGTAAGAAGACAAAGTTAATTGACTTTTTGGTAATTCACTGAAAACAAGTAAACTGTAGGCGATACACTTGATGCATTTACTACTTGCCGTTTATGGTAATAAGGTCATACCAAACACCATGACAAATTATGTCTCTTTAGAATGTTCTCATGTTCCTTTGGGAAGGCTACGGCGCATTGATTAATTGCATATATTTCAATCAGTGGTAATATTTTGGGGGCACGGGGGGCCCAGTCGTCTAAGGCGCCGCGATTTGCTGTGCAGAGTTACGTCCCTTGGGCTCGCCAGAAACCCATGATTGTAGGTTCGGATACCTGTTCGCCCCGATTATGTTTCTAGGTTTGTCCCGTGCTCCTGGGTTTCACCGAAGTGGTAAACGTCTTAGACCTGCATCACTTCGGACATTCCTCCCACTTTAAGCTGAGACGTCGTGATATAACTGGAATACTGTTAAACCCAACTCACTCACTCACTACCCACTTACGTTAACCACGGTGTAGTTCGACAGAGAAGCCCTCACTACCAGAGTTCCATCACCCAGCAGTTCGATTCCCTCAACATCAAAGGCTGTGTATATGGGGTGACTGAGTTCATCAGCGTCTACTGATATCACTCTTCCGATCACATGGTCAACCAAAACATTCTGAAATGAGAATATGCTCCATTTAAACACAGTCTGATAATCGTAATACAAAGTTCATGGTTAAAATGTTTATTCTTTAAGTTATCAATTTGTCGTTTTAACAATTGAGCTTCATCAATCGTCTCCTAATTTAGAGGAAAGGGTATAGTAATTAATACTTAATAATGTATGTGTATATATAATGTATATTTTAACGTCAGTGCGAAGTGATCTGTATCTCTGCAGTTACCACAAACGCTATGAAGTAAACAGCGTATAATAAATTCGAGGAAGGAATTAAAGTGAATCAGACCAGAGTTCAAATATGATGCACATGCAATACATACATACCTGATTTACTGTGAAGTTCTGCTGGGTGTTGTTGAAGTAGGGTAAGTTGTCGTTAACATCTTTAACGTTCACTTCAACATCTGTTGTCCTATAAAGAAGGCTGCGTCGGTCTGTCGCCTTCACTCTCACATAAAAGCGACTGCCTGTTTTTTCGCGGTCTATTGGGTCCTTTTGTCTTAAGTCTCCAGTCATACTGTCTATGTAAAAGCTCGAATTATCTGAACCTGAAAAGATCCGTTAAAACATAATTAAAATCGTAAAACCTATTGCTATAATGAAAGTGAATTTTTCGATTGATTTGCATGAATTCAATGTAATGCCTATTAACTATTGTTTTGAAAACGACAACTACAAATACAACTTATAACAGCAACTGTTGAGTTGAAACGTTATAAGAGTACTATAACATCTCGAGAAACGACGTCCTTAAGTGCAGCAGCATGTTAACTTATGAAGACATTTCCATACATGAACTAAGCAAGGTGTACCTATTAAGTCATAGGTGCAGTTACACTCTTCTTCACTCGCCCTTCGCACAGAAGCTCTAATGGACACCGCTTTATCTTCATCTGGCTTCTCATTCTCCGTCAGCATGAAGGTGTATGTTTTTGTGAAGAATGGTCGTGGCTCATCAGTCAGGATGGAAATAGTAATCTGTTGGCAGCAAAACCGTTACAATATATAAACACCAATACCGTGACAAATCACAATTAATAAGTTGACCATCATATTCTATTTCATCAAACACAAGAAGCTGGCAGCAAGTCCCTTGTGGGTATTGCAGGTGCCCCTTTCTATCAGATACGTTCCCAGGACTAAATGAACAACAAGGTATCATTTAACTACTGCAGTATATATAACAGCTACATTACGTTTGTGATTGCTTCCATCGCAGGGTCTTTTTGGGGTAGATCTGTCGCCTTGATCCTCAGAGTTACCACATCATCATTCACTGTGTCTAGGGTTGAAGCCACGTATATACTTCCTGAATCACGATCAATTTCGAAGTAATCTACGCCTAGAAAATATGGAGAAAAAAATATTTACATTTGCATGTTACTGACATTCGACACATTGATTTATGAGATCTGTGCGTTGCCTCAGGGTTTTGTTCTATGAGGTTTGTTGTGAAAATTGTTTTCCTATTCAACATGGTTTGCACTCGGCATTTCTATTCACTGGGCTTTGAAATGTCATCCTGGATATTTGTGCAGTGTCGGGACCATAACACTGAACAGATAATACATCATTGTGCAAATCATACCGTCTATCCTGTCATGTAACCTCCCCGTTTAAGTGTTACAATGCATGTGTGTTTGCTTTTAATATTTTCTGATAATTCATGTACACTACATACTTGATAAAATATGGTATTTAACGACTCCATTGCCGTCCTTGGTGTCGTCCCTGTCAGTTGCAGTGATGACGTCAGTGACGAGAGTGTTGATGTCAGCGTCTCTTGTTACGTTAGCTCGGTACGGGGCCCCCTGAAACACCGGTGGGTTGTCGTTGAAATCAAGGATGGTGACGGACATAGTTGTCGATCCAGTGAGACGCCCTGTGCAATTGCTGCATCCCTTCATGTCCACAGCAGTCACAATGCATTCATATGTGGAAGTCGTCTCATAGTCGAGGTCGCCGCTCACTTTCACGACTCCAGTCTCTAAAGAAGAGGGATTATACCACACTTAGTAATGGATATTGAAGATTGTATGTCTTTAAGGTTTAAGTGAATTTTATACACTGAATTATTTTTTGCGAATATGCTATTTATGAAACATCCAATACATGTTTATGTTTATCAAAGGAGATCAATCAATCGTCTCCTTTGGAGTAAACATTATTCACTGTTCGATGTGTATGATATTTGTACACAGAGAAACAGACAGTCAACAACCCTTGTCAAAGGTCATTTCAATTTTAGTAGTACTTATACTGTAGTTAAACAGTGACAATAACTGCCATGATGGCTACACCGAAGGCTATTGACTTTAGTACAATAAACGTTTACTTGTAATGTTCAAAGAAAACGTCAGAAGACACTCACCAACTGACACTTTGAATGGACAGACAGTTCCGTTCACCATTACGGTGTCAGGGAAATAGGTAACTTTACCATGCTGTGCATAGTCCCTGTCAGTCGCACTAACTGTCGCCACCTGAAGTAGACGCAGTATTTGTTGTCAAAGTGCAAACAATATGCTGCAAAAGAAATCAGATACATTTCAAATAGAAGCACTGCAAAGTAGATATCATTGTCGCCTCTTATATATGTCATCATTGATTATCAATCAAGTGTTTAAAATTTCTGGAACATGCACTTTGATTCTTATCGATCCCAATATTATCTCCCTTGGATGCCACCGTGTCTGTGCTCTGTCGTATCATAAGGTGGTTCGTCTAATGAAGCGCTTTCATCCCTCCCATAGACACCATGATATAATTGAAATAATATCCAAACCCCATCCACTCATTCTTAAATTACTTTTGATAAATACATGTATAATATCATGTGTAGGTTTCTCGGAAGGATAAAACCGACGGATATAAACGGTATTCATTGTGGTAATTTACGGGAAAATACATGTATGAATATTAAAAAGGTCAGGGGTATCAAGTTCAGTGATTACAATCCTTCGGGCATCTGGACAAGTACTCGGAAAATAATAAAAAGAATTCCTAAAAATATATAACGGGGGTGTAGCTGAGACCTTAGAGACCTTAAAGTTTAGGCAGCATTGAGAGATGTTAATAGGCCTATGCCACTTGGGGTCTTCTCCCGTGTTCAGAACACTTGGATTTGGCCTCGATGTGGCCAAACTTTTACATTGTTTATTTTGTCGCTGTTTGGGACATGTGACTGCATTTCTTAACATTATGATAATGTAGTGACTTAGCAGACCAGACAGATTCTAAACAAATGTGACGTATCAAAGATACTCTAGCGGGCAGACAGATAGACTGCCACAAAGGGCTAAGAATGACAAAGTTATTTTTGTGCTTGAAAAATAACTTGGACATTTTGTGTTGCCAATTCTCTTTTGGCTCATGTGGTAATTTCGTCACTGAGAGTTATGCCAATGTTTGAAATATATTGCTTTTGGTCGCTGTCTGACTGACCAATCACCGACCTTCAGACCTTGTAACATATTAATGCGCAAATTTCAGGTTCCTTTCAGGTACCGTTTGAGAGAGATAAAAAATGTATTTTTCGACAATATATTTCAAGAATGACATTACATGACAAAGAGGTTTTGACGCAGGTGTGTTTCACAAAAATAATTATCGTAAAAATGTCCTGTCTTATGAATAAAAACTGAAATACAATGTTTATTAAAAATACAGGATATATACCATATCCAAACACTCTCACGTGATACCCTGTATATAACTACCTCGCCAAGGCTCGGAACATACAATGTTTATTCCATATACAGGATATTTACCATCCCCAAACATACTAGCGTGCTACGTTCTATGTATACCACTGCAGATACTGATTGCGTTCAATGTCCCAATCCTCTTATTGTTTTATGTACATACCGATACGGAAATGGCACTATCTTCCTTTACTGTCACTGCATGCAGTGTCTGGAATGTGGGGGGATTGTCGTTGATATCATCGACAAGGATAGTCGCACTTGTTGTTGCAGTTCTCGGAGCATCTGCATTGTCTGTTGCCTTGAAATTAAGCACGGAATGTTTGATGTATATTTCAGTCACCATAAAAACTTTCAAGAAAGAGTGAAACCAATCACCAATATTTTGAATACGTTGGCGTGGCATTGTGTTGTCAAGCCATATTTTAGTGTTTAGTTTTTGTGTTACCTTGATAATTAAGTTGTAGGTGTCATAGGCTTCTCTGTCTAGATGTCCAGAAACAGTGACCGTGCCGTTTTCAGGATTTATGGAGAAATCTGCAAATTGTACAATACATTCAAAACCCTAAATACGTAATGATCACAAAATACAGTGAACATGAATAGGACTAGCTGTGTAATAACCTTAAAATCCGAAAAAGTAAACACTGGGGTATATATATCACCATAGAAAGCCCGGAAATAACCTTTTCGCCAAATATTTTCCAAATTGCAATCACACTGTACTGATTTAAAGATATGTTTTCTGGCTAAATTGTTACAAGAGTGTAGTATATTCACATACAGACGAACTGCTACATTTGGCCTCACTATCTGCACTTTCCTTAAACGCAGTGTTAATAATAATATTTAAAAACTTACGTGTCCGAGGTATCTGTGATTCAATGCTGTACGTTATTGTTCCATTTTCACCGACATCCCTATCATCGGCCACGATGCGTGCGACCTCCTTGCCCGGAGAGTTTTCCTGAACACTAAACACGAGCTGTTCAGTAGATGCCCGAAATGTTGGTGCATTGTCATTTATGTCCGAAACTATAACTGTTATCTGAAACAATTCAATCAAATCTTTAAAATGTGACACAAGTAACGCCCAAATACTATTTGCAAATACTATTGATAAAAAGGGTCAACGTTTTACATTATGAATACATGACACTTGTGGATAGAAACTTCTTTTGTTCTTTGTCAAAACGTTTCAGAACTACTTCTTACTCCTCCATCAGGCGAAACACATGGAGAAGGAGACGAGAAGTTGCTGTCCGTAAAAAAGTGTCATGTATTCATGTTCTTTAAATTTGAAATGCCTATCAAAGACTTCGCTTTAGAAGTACCTTAATTACATGTCCAACCAAAAACAAACAATAACACGGCGAATATGCAAATATTTTCCCTGGTAAATACTGGTCATTTCTCGGTCATTTTTGTATTCATTATGTAATCTAATCCTCCATGAAAAGTTCTCTGCGGAGGAATCGAAAATTGGAGAGTAAATCGAAGCCTACATGATACCGAAAAGAAAGAACTGTCCCACAACATCAGGGGATGTTTTCGAAATCCATACGCGTTCTACGTATACGAGCTATAAGTGATTGATCTATGGAGAAACTCGCACTTACAACAGCCACGTCCGAGGCGTTAGTGGCGGGATCCCTGGCACGAACGACAATGGTATGCTTTGCTGCTGTCTCACGATCCTGTGCTTTACTGCAAGTCAGCGCCCCACTACTATTATTAATACGGAAATCACCCCCATGGATAAGGGTATAGCTAACTGTCACGCTGGCGTCATAAGAAGCTTTTGCTCTTCCGAAAGATGTGTTATATACCTTCTCCTCCTCAATTGAAAATATAAAATCTGTATAGTTGAACCGTACAGTACTATTGCCTTGACTTTTCTTCACAACAACTGATACTGGGACGGAGACATTTAGCGACCGAGAACCTTTATCTATAGCTGTAACGTTAAAGTTATATGTTGTGTAAGCATTGGGTTGACTTGCGCCCTCTTTGATGCGTAACACACCTATAGTGTCTCCATCAATGTAGAATTTGTCCGTCTCCCCACTCATGGAGAACCTAAATTGGCCATTCGTTCCAGAATCATCATCCGTGACTTCAAAAACATCAACAGGGTTGTTGGTTGCCCACTCCAAAGTTGTTATCTCAGACTGATAGTTGGGTTTATCAAAACGTGGACTGTTGTCATTTTCGTCTTCAACGTTTATCTCAACTGTTACTGTGTCACTCATTTTGGGAAACCCTGGGTTCTCTGCTTTTATTTCTATCAGATGTTGCCGCATTTCTTCATAGTCAAGAGGAATCATACATCTAATGGCCCCAGATATTGGATCGACTGTAAATTTGGAACTTGTTGTTGAGAACGTGATGTTGGCATTGCTGCCTTCGTCCTGGTCTATTGCTGTCACTGTTAGGATGTTTCTGTCACATGGGCTATTTTCCTTATTATAACTTTTGTAGGAGTTCTTTGTAAATGTAGGCTTTTCATCGTTTACATCACGAATATTGATGGTAACTGTCAATACTGATTCTAGAGAAGGCGACCCTTGGTCCCTTGCTTCGATGGACAGGTTGAAGACTTTCCTGCTTTCTCTGTCAATTGCCTTGATTGTCGATACTTCGCCAGTGATTTCGTCAATTTGGAATAAACCAAATCCCCCATCTTTCAATGAGTATGATATCTTTGCATTGAGGCCTTCATCCTTGTCTGTGGCTGTTAACGTAGTGATAATCTTTGGTCCAACGTTTTCTTCCACCCAAAATACGGTCCTCCCGCGGTTGAACTGTGGTGCATTGTCGTTGACGTCCATGATTGTGATGTTGAGTGTAGTAGTGCCTGTGTTAGGATTAGATGGATTGTCTGTTCCAGTTAATGTCAGGACTACATATGGAGTTACTTCTCTATCAGTCGGGGTTCCGCTGGTTTTTATGGTGAATTTGTTGTGATTCAATTTCTCAACAGCAAAATAGGTTTTCCCAGAACCCGTCAAAGCGAAGTTTACAGAACCATTCACTCCTCTGTCTTCGTCGGTAACAACTATGTCCACCTGCTCAAAAGAATTTCAATATGAGTACGTATTTTTGTTAAATTAAATTTGCAATTTTTAGTTTAAAGTTCATGAAGTCCGCAAATGTTGTGAACATTAGTCAGACGTATGCATAAATATAATATTTTATGAACGTTTCACTTGTTATCATAGTTTTGGACATAAGGTGGTATTCAGTTGCTGATGCTCGTCATTTAGACGATACATAAGAACTGGTCGACTCGGAGTCAGTATACGATGTCTGTGTTAGGTATTCATGTTACACTGAGGCATCGTATCTCAGTGGACTAGCGCTATAAAATCGGCATTAGTCCGGACTAGTAAGAGCGCACGCACACACACACACGCACGCACACGCACACACACACGCACACGCACGCACACACACACACACACACACACACACACACACACACACACACACGAACAGACACACACACACACACACGAACAGACACACACACACATCCATGCACGTAGCTATTTAAGTGCAAAACTTTTTGCACGCGACGTTAAACCCAACTGCATCTCACCTCACATTATTTTAATGAATATATCAAAGGAAAGTTTGTTTTATTAAATCTTGATAAATAAATGAATATAACAGACAACAGTAACGATTCGTTCGGCGGGATTGGGCCACTTTACAGGTAAGGGAGATAACTCTTCAAGAAAAGGACTGTCGTCATTGAAACGAAATAACACTATAACACTGTTTTCAATATGGTGAGTGGTGACAGATTTACATCACATTATATTAAGTGGAAAACCATTAAAAAATAAACATTGCATGGACCAAACACTTTTTTGTGAATGTTGTAGAGTGTATAGTAACCATGCCTTCATCTGCTGACCAAGACGAACTGCAGCTTCGTACTGCATACTGTAGCCAGTTGTTACATGCTGAATTTTAGCGTTTAAATATACTGAACAACAAAAAAGTTCCTGTGACATTGAATAAGATTTAATGCAAAGTCATGTTTTTTACCAAACCTGAAACAATTTCGGTTTGGAACAGATAAAAGACTCCTGTAAGTGTTCAAATTGTTTAATTTGCCATACTGACTTCAGAAAATGCGTGATTTCATAAATAAAATGAACATGCCAATATGACAATTCACAAATCAATAGCGTTTGTATCCACCTCTGGTTGCGATGGGGGCGGTCGGGTAGCCTAGTGGTTAAAGCGTTCGCTCGTCACGCTGAAGATATGGGTTTGATTCCCGACATGGGTGCAATGTGCGAGGCCCATTTCTGGTGACCCCCGCCGTGATATTGCTGGAATATTGCTAAAAGCGGCGTAAAACCATACTCACTCACTCAGGCGCCGAACAAAGTCCTGTGGAATATCTGTCCATATCTGCTGGAGCATGTTTCTGGAGTGTTCCTGGAGTGTCTGTGGAACACGTGGTTGACGTCGAAGGCGCCTATCCATCTCATCCCACATGTGCTCGATTGGTGAGAGATCAGGGGAACGAGCCGGCCAGGGGATGACATTCACGTTGTTTTGTTGAAGAGTGTCCTGAACAAGTTGAGCAACATGAGGCCGGGCGTTATCATGTTGAAAGGTAATGCCTGGGCCATGACGACGCGAAAACGGCAGAACAAGAGGGCCGATGATCTCGTCGCGGTAGCGCTGTCCATTGAGACTTACCTCTACCAATATCAAAAGGGTCCTCTGTCTTGCTGTAATCCAAACCCATACCATAACGCTGCCGCCCCCGAACCGATCTTCTACCATGACACAATGATTGACGTAACGTTCACCTCGACGTCGGTACACTCGAATCCGTCCATCGCTGTGGCTGAGGTGAAACGAGACTCGTCAGTGAATAGAACTTGTCCCCACTGCATGGCCGTCGAGCGTAGACGCTGTCTGCACCACTGCAGACGTGCTTGATGGTGGTTTTCTGTCAAAATGGGACGTCTGGCGGGTCTTCTGGCGACAATCCCTGCACATCTGAGGCGGCGACGTGCGGTTTGTGAAGATATTCGTTGAAGGCCAGGGATGCTTCTTGCAGTCACTGTTGCTGGCTGGAATCGATTTCGTAGGTGTGTTGTTCGAATCCAGCTGTCTTGTCGATTATTGGTTACGCGTGGCTTGCCACTCCGGGGATGGTCTCTGACTCCATTCCTCTGTTGCCAACGTTGCCATAAACACCAAATGGTGTTACTGTGGACGGTACATTGTCTTGCAACATCACGTTGACTCGATCTTGCTTCAAGCATACGCTCATTTTCGGACAGGCGTGGCATTTTGTAATGTTGAATAATTACGTAATTCTGTTGTTTTTCTGAGTGGATGTTGTCAGCACGATGCTAAACAATGCATATCGAATCCCTTTAACGCACATGTTTTATACCCATTCTTGGGTAGTGAAATGAATGGCGCTTGCATAAAAGTCAACTTTTGCATGGAATGCATGCTTTTCTGTAGGAGTTGCGTTTTTGTGACTTGATTCCATACATGTACTACACTATTGAAAACCAAACATTACTCGTTTGAAAAATACAGGATCTCTCTCTCTTTCTCTCTCTCTCTCTCTCTCTCTCTCTCTCTCTCTCTCTCTCTCTCTCTCCCTCTCTCTCTCTCTCTCTGTCTCTCTCTCTCTCTCTCTCCCTCTCCCTCTCTCTCTCTCTGGATCGATCAATCGAAAGACCACGATTAACACACTCACCAAATCATCAACCAGTGTTCCTGAAGTGGAGTTTTCTTTCACTCTTCCTGTATAAAAGGGTCTGGAAAACTGTGGCGCATTGTCGTTCTCGTCGGTTACATTCGTAATCAGGTGACCAATCGTCTGTGGGATCGAATATTGATATATTATCAATATATTAATATTATTACAATTACAATACTACAAATCATCACATTTATTAAAATATCATCTTTAAGTTAGGGTTAATTGTTATTGAGAAATATCGTTAGTTCAATTTTCTTTGGTAACATTCCTTTGGCTATCCAACAAACATACTTCAAAAAAGCTTCCTTAAATTGCCACTTACCACAGGGGAGCACTGGTCACCACTATCCATGTAAGCCTGAATGGTGAATTCAGTGTATGCCTGGTCGTCGTTCTCTCGGTCTAGACCAATAGCTGTTGTGACGATCCCCTTGATAGAAATAGATTTTTTAAATAAGTAATTTAAACACTGGAGTATTGTATACACTCTTTACTCAGATATTCAATCGATAACAATCGTCCACAGACAAATAAAGTAACAAATATATTAGCTTGCATATATTTAAATGGGTATGCCCAACGGGTCAGAAAATGTGAGAATCTACAGTTCATGAAGGTTTCAATGGTACTTACAGATGCTGGATTGAGGTTGAAGAATCCTTGAGCCCGTGGGTTTGCAAATTTGAAATCTGTATAGTTTGACACTGAGACGTTAGCAGCATATGTTCCATTGGGGCTGTTTTCACTGACTCTGCCAAGGAAGGTCTTGTTGAGGTTGATTCCATGAATGGTGTAAGAGATGAGATAGACAGTGATGGTGCTTTCATCAGAGTAGGTTACTCCATCATAAGCCTTGACACGTAGAGTGATTGTGGAGGGGAACTTACCTCTTGTTAAATCCACCTTTGATGTCAAAATACCATCGTCGTTTATGCTGAAGTAGCCTTTATTTTCGCCGTCCAAATCGAAAGCTGTCCGTCCAACTGTATCTCCATCAGTGACATCAACAACGCCGACTATACTATTCCTCTTAGATCCAGCAAAAAGCGAGAATTCGTAAACTGCTTTTTTAAGTTTCGGAGGTTCGTCATTTAGATCTTCAATTTTAATATGGACATCAACTGTAGTTGACTTTGTACTGTTCGTCGTGACTAGATCAAGTTTAAAATCAATATTTCTGACACCAGCATCATAGTCAATTGCCTTCTCCAGCCTTACGCCTGTCAAGCTTTTTGCTAGTCCATCTGGAAGCGTGTCAATTATGGCTACCTCGAACTTAGGGCTTGTTATGGTATAGCTCAAGATTTTGCCTGTCCAATTTTCTCTAAACGTTGTTGTAAAAGTACTCTTGAATAACAAGATGTAAAAGGTTGCAGTTGTTGCTCTCTGTCCTCCATTTGTCGCTTTGACACTGAATATATATTCTTTAGCTACTGTATCGTTATTGGTAAAGTCACTCAAAAACATATCTTGTCCACAAAGAACCTGCCCCGATATGGTCACATTGAACAGGGCCCTTGCTGTCTGATCTGTGGTCTCCATTTCGAAGTTGCTGTACCCTCCCAAACTACCAATAGTCCTCACGTCAGCTATCAGCGTGCCTTTCCTGGTTCCCTCCACCAACATAACTGTGACGTCTTCTGGTGTGAAGGAGGAGGACTTGATCCTGACGGTCACAACCTGCTGCACAGTGAACTCACTGGAAGCTGCTCGTAACGCTACCACAAATGTTTTAGCACTGCTTATTTCCTTGACCAGTGCCACATCAATGAGCCTCGAGTTTCTCTTTAGGTCCAGGATTCCCTCATCAGGATATACTTCGCCTTCTATGGAGAAGGTATTTGTGGGGAATGTACTAAGCCCATCAAACATGATTGATCCCACTGAAAAATATATCATTCGACTTAACTCTTTTATGAACGAATGGACAACGACGATAATGTAACTATTGCATTTTTTAAGTTGTCGGTCAAACACGACGATTGCGTTGAAGGGCGACTTACCAGTTACTGGCGTTCTAGATAGATCTGTGGAGAAGATGTAGTTTTTGGTACTTGACAGAACACTTGGTCCTGGAACAAAAAGGCTTGGATGAAGATTGTTGACAGTACTATGCATCGTTACCAGGGTAGTAAACGTATTCTTTATTCAATTCTTACAATTATTATGTACACAATAACTCATATTTACCCATTGAGCATTCTGTAGCTGATATCTGCACGTTCTTGTTAGCACAGGCACATCTGCGGCTTCCCGCTGACGTCGTCACACACGAGCTGTTTACGGCCACACATCGCGCGTTTGAGCAGTCCTCGTCCAGAGAGGCATCTGTCATGGGGTCGCACGTTGATGGCGTTGGGGTGGTTGTTGCTAAATGTAAATAGTTCAATGAAGATTGATGACAGTACTGTGTATTGTTACTAGGGTAGGAAACGTATTCCTTATTCCATTCCTACAATTATGATGTACACTATAACTCATATTTACCCATTGAGCATTCTGTAGCAGAGATCCCAGAGGTTGCACGTAACGTTACCACAAATGTTTTAGCATTGCTTATATCTTGGGCCAATTCTACGTCTATATGCCCCGAGTTCCATTTTTAGGTTCAGAATCCCCTCATCGGGATATACTTTAACTTCTACTGAGAAACTAACTGTTGGGAATTTACTCAGCTCGTCCAGAAGGATTTGTCCCACTGCCAAAGAAAATATTACACATAAGGACAGCACAATGTTTCAGCCTAGATCGCAAGAAAGACTCACCCATTGTTGGTTTTCTAGACATATCTGTGGTTTCTTTACTTGCTATTGAAAGCAGCAGTGTCTGTTAGTATTGTAAGCAGTGATATTCTATCGGTATGAATCTCCAATACTTTTCGCTGCTGTCTATTATTTTCATTCATATTAGTCACACTAGACCACACCTATACCTGGATTCAGTGTGCAAGGATCATGAATAGGTCTTTTTAAAGTAACATAGTTCCCTGTAAGTATGTAACTCTGTCTACATTATGTCTTCACAAGAAAGTACTAGTGTCACTTTAGCCATTTCGGATACATTTGGATCGAAATATGACGTTTGTTCAGATTATTCCATACGGTCATGTATTGCTGTCCTGATCACAAAACGTCCAATTGGATTTCAGGATAGACTTGAAACATTAGACATTGCTCATTCTATACACCTGGAAATGAATTAAGCATCACCCATATTTTCACGAATGAGTCGATTTACTTGCGGCCTTGTACAAACTGCGTTCGAAATAACAGCACCCAATGATATTTAATGCTTACCCGAGTCATCAATCATGATAGAAAACAAGGGTTTACATTGGACATTTACTCTGAAGTGTGGACATTTTGAAGACTGGCGTTATATTCACCAAAACCAAAGTGGAAATCACTGGTGTTGCACAATAAATACCGAACTGCTTCAAACCTGTCTGTATCAGTGGAATCCTAAACCAATGTCAGTTTCATACCAGATACATAGTGCTCGTCAATACTTGGTGTGACCACCCTGCACACAAACGACTACCGTAAAACGTTCCTCATTCTATGCAACGTCAGATACCAACAGACTTTGATACTTTCAAAAGCATATGCTTTAGGTTAAACGGTACGTATGAATTGACTGATATTCAATGTGGTCATTCTTGACAAAGCGAGGATACCAAGAAACACTATAGCAGGCGTCCAAGCAGCTATTAAAGTGTCGTAATTCAAGTTGGATTTGCCGTTTGATAATGGTTGATATAGAGGTATTTCTTTGTATGGAGATGAACTACTAATGTGTTTCTACTACTATTTATGAAGACATATAAAACGCCAGTGAATAATCAGTCTCAATTTATTACCTACCGAAACAGGTTCCACTGACAAAATCATGTCGCGAAAAGGTTAAGCATGTCCTGCTCTACCCTTAGTCAATAGCCATATATAACAATGTGGCAGCATGCACGTTTTTATGTTTTCAGATGGAATATAAGATACCCAACAACTTTAATGTCTTGTCACAATCTAGGGGATCACTTCAATAGCATGCAGCTATGTCATACCACATGTACTTGTAAATAAATGCCAAAAACATTGTTCTGTTCTTTTCGCACAAACTGCAGTTGACAATGTTGTGATGCAATGCTTTAAAAAAGTGCTTCTCAGGAATGTATTTACTTTGCGTTAATCAAATCATCTCAATCCGAACATAAACTGATTCTTGACGAGTAGACTGCCTCTGTGGTCTAACCAATAGAGCATTTGCTAGAAGAGCGGAAGGTCAGTAGTTCGATCCTCGGCCCCGTCAAACCAAAAGACGTTAAAAGATAGGATTTTTTGTTAACCTGACAGGAGCTCGGCATAAAACTGACATTTGTACTATTATTCTGTTTTCGTTTTAGCATAAGAAGACACCAATGGAGAATAGAGCTTGCCAATGTCGATATTGTTTTCACTAAATTATGTAAATTAATGATAAATACTTATTGTTCAAGCTCAAAGGATATTGAATTTATTCAAGATTGCTTTTAACAAAAAATAATCTTATTTTCAAGTTTTTAATTACTTAACCTATTCATTGCTCCTTCTTCTGTCTCTTTTACATCTTCACTTCTTGAGCACTACGGATAAGGATTATGTAAGTGTAGGGCAGCTGCCGGAAATAACATGCTCTTTTATGGTGTGTTTTAATGCTTTGTGTGAATCTGGAGTGATGTGTGCACGGGCGTGAATATGTCATGATAACTGGTCTTGTCCACAGAACTGTAACAAATCCATCGAAGTGCATTTTTAGACGTTGTATTACTTGTATAAAGTTCAACATACTCAATATGACATTATACAGGCAAATGTCCTGTAAAAAGTAATGTCATGACTAGAGTTTAGCGTGTGCAAGATAACGGTGTCAGGATAACAGAAGCTGATGTATGTTCCACTGGTCTCAAACCAGTTTACCTTTTCCAAATACGGGAGCATGTTCAATGTAATCGTCTGGTCGCACTTCTATGGAGACCTTTGTTGTAGTTACTGCCAATATATTGATTGGTCCTGTAAAGTTGCCCTCTGTCACACTCACTATCATCTGGTAAAGAGACAGCATATTTGCCTTGAGGATAAGCAAATTGAAGCCGATACACTTGTTGTATATACTACTTGATTCTGATGGTAATGAGACCAAAACAAATTGAATCTAGGTTCTTTAGATAATTTCATATTTCTTTGGTAAGGTTACATAAACAATAATATCTCTCGTCACTTTTTGAAAACAAAAAGGGGAATTATATCGAATTTAATTTTTATTTTAACCCACTCCGATCAAAAGTTATCATTGTTCTAAATGAAAGCAAGTTCACATTTCTGTTATCATAGGAAATCTCTACCAAACTTAGAGAACTTTGCGACTTTATCATATGTATGCCGATACACTTGTTGTGTTTATTACTTTAGCCTATGGTAATGAGCCACAAGTAAATAAGCCTATTGGGCTTTTTCGAATACGGTCAAACGCCGTTTTGTCGAACTTTGACGTGTCGAACTTACGGTTGTATCGAAGTAAAAGCTTGGACGGTGGTATTCCTTTTTTATTGATCATTTTCGGTTGTGTCGAACCTCGGATAACTCGAGGTCCCTTGTGTGACTCTTTTTCATATACCTTTGGTAATGCCGCATAAACAATAATATTTCTCGTCACATTTTGACAACAAAACGCGTAGGTATGTCATATTTTAATTTTAATTTCAATTTTCAACCACTCTCGACTAAATTTACCATTGTTCTAAATGATAGCAATGATATAAATCAAAAAGCGACAAAAGCGTTTCTGTAATCGTAAGAAATCTGTAGTAAAAGTAGATTCCGACTGTATCATAAACATGTGTTTACGAATCACTATCAAAATGAGATACCAGGTGTTCTCAAAAAGGTAAACTCAAAAAAGAAAAGTACATTATTGTAAAATCACCAACTACATAACTAGCTTCAAAACAAATTGTATCTTAAGATCTAGGGTCGGAACGACGATTTTTAGAATTTGTTTTTATGTGGCCTGATGAATTTATTAAAACCAACCTATTCACCTTGTTTCTGTACTGAAATACCCCTTGCCAAAATAGTGTTTCGGCCATAATAACTTATTTCATCGCGTTTATATATATTGCCAAAGAAAATATTCGTCAGTCTTTGGAAACAATCAATTTGAGAACATTTATCAAAATAATATTTATATGCAATATTATATGGCAAAATATTGATTACTTTGTGTCGCAACCCCCAATATATGTCTGAATGAACTACATGATCTATTGAACTAAACTTAAGGCAACATATTGATTACCGCACATGGTGCAATAATGGTCCTTTTCCAAAATATCTGCTTACATCAACCGTTGTGTAGCTCGACAGATGAGCCCTCACAACAAGAGTTCCATCACCCAGCAGTTCGATGCCATCAACATCAGTAAAGGCTGTGTATATGGGGTGACTGAGTTCATCAGCGTCTACCGACATCACTCTCCCGATCACATGCCCAGCTGGAGCACTCTGAAATGTGAATATTTAAACATAATTTCATATTCCTTAAAGTTTATTGCTTGAATTGTTTATTCTAGTATTTACTTACGATAACATTTACCCCAGTTGCTAATGTACTCATTATAGACAAACAAGGCAACAGAAAAAAGTGTAAAAAGTAAAAAGAGTTCAAGGGACATAACTTTGCAGGGTATCTCTCATCCAATTGTATGGTGGCGTTAAATTGCTTCTTTATAGGACATAGATAGAACATATAATATTATATTCCGGCAGAGACTGATGCAGTCCTTTATTTATATGTTACCTCCTTACCCAGTGATATATAATTCTTGGACAATGACAGACAAGTTGAGCGACTGAGTACAAATATGTATACTTACGACCCTACTACGTATACTACTAATACTACTACTATTGCTACTACTGCTACTACAACAACTGCTACTACTTCTACTCCTAGAACTACTATCACGACAACTATTACTATTTCTACTACTACTGATCATAAAAATAATCATCATAATAATAATGATAATAACAATGCTCCTATTATATTATTTTGGAATTATATATTAGATATTGAATGAGTATGGTTTCACGTCCGTTTTAACTATATATTACAGCAGGAGACAAATATTATACTGATCATAATGATGGACATGCAGTGAATCAGTCCTGTGAGCTTTTAAACCAATAAAAAACATACCTGATTTACTATGAAGTTCTGCTGGGTGTTGTTGAAGTAGGGTAAGTTGTCGTTAACATCTTTAACGTTCACTTCAACATCTGTTGTCCTATAAAAAAGGCTGCGTCGGTCTGTCGCCTTCACTTTCACATAAAAACGACTGCCTGTTTTTTCGCGGTCAATCATGTACTTTTGTTTCAAGTCTCCAGTCATACTGTCTATGTAAAAGCTCGAATTATCTGAACCTGAAAATATCCGTTAGTACATAAATAAAATCTAAAACCTATTGCCAGTATGAAAGAGGGTTGATTATTTCGATTGATTTGTATGAATTCAATTTAAAGCCTATAAAATGATGTTTTGAAGAGTAACACTTATGAGGATAGCAACGGGTTAAGTCTAAAACATTATACAGAACACTATAAAATGTCTAGAAGCGAGGATCTTAAGAATAACAGCATGTAAACTTTGAAGACATTTGCACACATGAACAAAAAACAAAGCAAGGAGTACCTATTAAATCATAGGTGCAGTTACACTCTTCTTCACTCGGCCTTCGCACATAGGCTCTAATGGACACCGGTTTATCGTCATCAGGCTTCTCATTCTCCGTCAGCAGGAAGGTGTATGTTTTTGTGAAGAATGGTCGCGGCTCATCGGTCAGGATGGAAATAGTAATCTGTTGGCAGCAGAAGCGTTACAATTATAAATACTAATACCATGGCAAAACGCAAATCCAACCAATTGGTAACTTGACAATCATAATGCGTTTGGTCAAATGCGAGAAGCTGGGAACAATTGTCCTTGTGTGTCTTTCGGTTGCCCCTTATATCAGACACGTCCCGATGGACTGAAGGAACATCATGGACAACCGTTTTTTGGTTTGATCAAAATACTACAGTATATATAACAGCTACATTACGTTTGTGATTGCTTCCATAGCAGGGTCTTTTTGGGGTAGATCTGTCGCTTTGATCCTCAGAGTGACCTCATCATCATTCAGTTTGTCTAGGGCTGTAGCCACGTATATTCTTCCTGAATTTCGATCAATCCTGAAGTAGTTGATGTCTAGAAAACATGGAGAAATATTATCACTTGTATGGTAGTGAAGTTCGACACAATAATTGATTGAAACTCCCATTCCCTGAATATTGTATTAGGTTTGTTGATAAAACTGTTTTCCTTTTCAAAATTGTTTCCACTCAGCATCCCTATTCACTGGGCTTTGATATGTCATCCTATTTATGCAGTATCAAGACACTGGACAGATTATAGATACCATCTATCTCGTCAGGTAACCTCCCCATCTAAGTGTAACTATGATACAAATCATGTATGTTGACATTAATGCAATGCATGTAAATAATAAATAATTTCTAATATTTCATGTACACAACATACTTGAAAACATATGGTATTTAACGACTCCATTGCCGTCCATGGTGCTGTCCCTGTCAGTTGCGGTGATGACGTCAGTGACGAGAGTGTTGATGTTAGCGTCTCTTGATATGTTGGCTCGGTACGGCGCCCCCTGAAACACCGGTGGGTTGTCGTTGAAATCCAGGATGGTGACGGACATTGTTGTCGATCCAGTGAGACGTCCTGTGCAACTGCTGCATCCCTTCATGTCCACAGCAGTCACAATGCATTCATATGTTGAAGTCGTCTCATAGTCGAGGTCGCTGCTCACTTTCACGACTCCAGTGTCTAAAGAAAAGGGATTATATCACACTTAGAAACAAAATATTGAAGATTGTATGACGTCAAGTTTATTTAAAGTGAATATTATATACCAAATCAGCCTTTGCTGTTATTTAACATTACATATGTTGTACAAAGGAGATAAATTAATCGCTGCCTAAAGTATATTCACTTTTTGATGTGTTTGATATGTGTGCACATAGAAACATAGCGTCAACTACCCTTGTCAAAGGTCATTTCATTTTTATAGTACTTATACTGTGGTGAACCCGTGACAATCACTGCCAAGATGGCTATACTGAAGGCTATTGACTACAAGGTGTTACACGTTTACTTATAATGTTTAAAGTATACGTCAGACTATTCTTACCCACTGACACATTGAATGGACAGACAGTTTGGTTCACCATTACGGTGTTAGAAGTGTATGCAATTGCACCATGCTGCCCCAAGTCTCCGTCAGTCGCACTCACTGTCTCCACCTGAACGTAGAAGCAACAGTTTTGGTCAATGTACAAACGATATGCTGCAAATTACATCAGATACATTGGATAAGAGTTAGTGAGTGAGTATGGAAGTGATAAACACTCCTGGAACAACCACTATGATTCTTTTCGATCCCAGTGTTATCTCCCTCGAGTGGCACGTTTTCTGTGCTCTGATGTTTCATGAGGTGGTTCGCGTTATTCAGCGCTTTCTTCCCTCCCACAGACCCCATGATATAACTGAAATAATCATCAAACCCTACTCACTCCTTCTTTAATTACTTGTAATAAATTCAGTATCATATAATGTGTAGGATTCTCGGAAGGATAAACCCAACGGATATAAATGTTTTCCATTTACGGTTCAATATGCAAATCATAAGGTCAGATGAGAATCACTTTCAGTGATTACAAACAAACGTTGCGTCGATCGGCAATCGATTCCGAATATTGACTATCGGGAATCAGGACAGATCGTTCGGATACTTGTCATCATTATCAAAATAATAGTCTAAGATACTTACAGATGTCTCACAGGGGTGTAGCTGAGGTCTTTTAAAGTTCAGGCACCATTAAGAAATACAAATTGCGAAGCTGTGCTTGTGGACCTCTGCGGCTTGGTTTTTTTCCCGAATTTAGAAACAGTTGGATTGGCCGAAATATGGCCAAACATTTACTTTGTTTCATTTTGTCGCTGTTTTGGACATCTGACTTCATTTCTTATCGTCATGATAATGTAATGACTAAGCAAACCAGACAAATTCTAAACAAACGTGACATATCAAAGAAAAGCGCAGCTCCTTTTGACAAAGGGAAGTTACTCTAGCGGGCAAACAGATTTACTGCCACGAAGGGCTTGGACTGACAAAATTATTTTTGTGTTTTAAAAATACCTTCGAAATTTTGTGTTGCCAATTGTCTTTTTGCCTGTGTCGTCGTGACGCCACTGATGCCACAGTTATGCCACGATTGGAACAATATTGCTTGCTGTCGCTTTCCAACTGACATATCACCGACCTTGTTTGTGACCTTATAATATATATAAACACACATTCCTGGTTCCGTTCAGGTACCATTTGTGAGAGAAAAGAATATTCTTTTTCAATAGAATTCAAGAATAACATTACATGATTAAGAGGTTGTGATGCTTGTGTGAATTGGGATCGTAAATGTTCTGTATTATGAATAGACAAAATGTATTTAGCGCAAAGGCTCTGAAATACAATGTTTATTCCATAAACGGGGATATTTACCACCCCCAAACACACTCGCGTGATACCTTCGATATATAAAACTGGACACATTGATTGGTGTCAATGTCCAAATCCAAACCGTTGTGTATCCATAAGTTAACTATATGTCTATTATTTTATGTAAATACCGATGCGGAAATGGCACTATCTTCCTTTACTGTCACTGCATACGTTGTTTGGAATGTCGGGGGATTGTCGTTGATATCCAGGACAAGGATAGTCGCACTTGTTGTTGCAGTTCTCGGAGCATCGCCATTGTCTGTCGCCTTGAAATTAATCATTGAATGTTAGATGCATATTTCAGTCGCCATAAAATCAATCAAGAATTTTTGAAATAAATCACCAATAATTTGAATACGTTGGTGTTTCGTTGTGTAGTCAAGCCACAGTTTAGTGTTTGTTTAGTTTTTGTGTTACCTTGATGATTAAGTTGTATGTATCATAATCTTCTCTGTCTAGATCTCCCGAAACAGTGACCATGCCGTTTCCAGGATTTATCGAGAAATCTGCAAATCGTACATAACATTCAATACTCTAAATACGCACTGAAATATTGAATTGAATCATGTGAAACGAAAAAGGACAACACAGTGAACATCAATAGGACTAGTTAGATATAAAAAAACGTCCGAATATTCATGTCAAGACAAAATGCAACGTTTTGCATCAATATCTGCACCTTCCTTCAACGCAGTGCTATTAATTATATTTAACAACCTACGTGTCCGAGGTGTCTGTGATTCAATGCTGTACGTTATTCTTCCATTTTCATCTGCATCCCCATCTTTGGCAATGATGCGTCCGATCACCTTGCCAGGAGAATTTTCCTCAACTTGAAAGACGAGCTGTCCAGAAGATGCCAGGAATATTGGTCCATTGTCATTTACATCCAATATTTGTACTGTTATCTGAAACAATCACATCAAATCTTTAAAATGTTACAACGGCTCACATACTGTTTTCATGTTAATCCATAAAAATAACAGCGTTTTAGAGGTAGCTTTATTACATGTCCAAACCGAGCAAACAATAACACTCTTAAGTCCTTGTCATTGCTTTATCACTTCTCTGTCTCGTTGTGTGTTCCCCATGTAATCTATTCCTCCTTCAAAAGTTTATATTCAAGTGCAGTTTCCAGTTATGTAGAAACATAGAGAATCGGGGAACAAGTCGAAACCTACATGACGCCAAAAAGAAAGTATCGTTTGGAGAGAGACAATTTTTCGAAATTCATTCTGTGCGAGCTATACGTGATTGATCTATGGGAGAAACCCGCACTTACAACAGCCACGTCCGAGGCGTTAGTGGCGATATCCCTCGCACGAACGACCATGGTATGATTTGCTGCTGTCTCACGATCCAGTGCTTTACTGCAAGTCAACGCTCCACTACTTGGATCAATACGGAAATCCCCGCCATGGATTAAGGTATAGCGAACTGACACGCTGGCGTCATGAGCAGCATTTGTTCTCCCGAACGATGTGGTATATAATCGGTTCTCCTCAATTGAAAACCTAAAGTCTTTAGAACTGAACCGTAAAGTACTGGTGCCTTGTATTTTCTTCACATCAACTGATACTGGGACTGTGACACTTTGCGACGGAGAACCTTTATCTGTAGCTGTAATGTCAAAGTTGTATGTTGTGGAAGCAACGGGTTGACTTGCGCCCACTTTGATGCGTAACACACCTATAGTGTCTCCATCAATGTAGAATTTGTCCGTCTCCCCGCTCATGGAGAGTATAAATTGGCCATTCGTTCCAGAATCATCGTCCGTGACTTCAAAAACATCGACAGGGTTGTTGGTTACCCACTCCAAAGTTGTTATCTCAGACTGATAGTTGGGTTTATCAAAACGTGGACTGTTGTCATTTTGGTCTTCAATGTTTATGTGGACATCTACTGAAGTTGACTTTGTACTGGTCGTCGTGACAAGATCAAGTTTAAAATGTATACTTGTGATACCAGCATCGTAGTCAATTTCTTTTACTAGACTAATTGTCATCAAATCTTTTGATAATTTTAGTCTATCTGGGAGCGTGTCATTTATAGCGACCTGGAACTTAGTGCTTGTTATAGTATAGCTCAAGATATTGCCTGTCCAATTTTCTCTTAACGTTGTTGTAAAAGTACTCTTGAATAACAAGATGTAAAAGGTTACAGTTGTTGCTGTCTGTCCTCCATTTGTCGCTTTGACACTGAATATATATTCTTTAGCTACTGTGTCGTTATTGGTAAAGTCACTCAAAAACATATCTTGTCCACAAAGAACCTGCCCCGATGTGGTCACATTGAACAGGGCCCTTGCTTTCTGATCTGTGGTCTCCATTTCGAAGTTGCTGTACCCTCCCAAACTACCAATAGTCCTCACGTCAGCTATCAGTGTGCCTTTCCTGGTTCCCTCCACCAACATAACTGTGACGTCTTCTGGTGTGAAGGAGGAGGATGTGATCCTGACGGTCACAACCTGCTGCACAGTGAACTCACCGGAAGTTGCTCGTAACGCTACCACAAATGTTTTAGCATTGCTTATTTCCTTGACCAGTGCCACATCAATGTGTCTCGAGTTTCTCTTTAGGTCCAGGATTCCCTCATCAGGATATACTTCGCCTTCTATGGAGAAGGTATTTGTGGGGAATGTACTAAGCCCATCAAACATGATTGATCCCACTGAAAAATATAATAATATCATTCGATTTAACGAATGGACCACGTCGATAATGTAACTGTTGTAATTTTTAAGTTGACAGTCAAACACGACGATTGCTTCGAAGGGCGACTTACCGGTTACTGACGTTCTAGATAGATCTGTGGAGAAGACGTAGTTTGTTGTACTTGACAGAATACTTGGTCCTGAAACACAAAGGCTTTGATGAAGGGTGGTGATAGTACTATGCATCGTCAGTAGGGTAGAAAGCATATTCCTTATTCCATCCTTACAATCATGATGTACACTATAACTCATATTTACCCATTGAGCATTTTGTAGCAGAGATCTGCACGTTCTTGTTAACACAGGCACATCTGCGGCTTCCCGCTGACGTCGTCACACACGAGCTGTTGACGGCCACACATCGCGCGTTGGAGCAGTCCTCGTCCAGAGAGGCATCTGTCATGGGACCGCACGTTGATGGCGTTGGAGTGGTTGTTGCTAAATGTAAATTGTTCTCTACAATATCAGGCGTGGATATGAAAGGATATGACTTTTATATTGCATATTACTCGATGATAATTAACGATAAAGCACCCCGACATGTTTTAGTTAAAGTCACAAGGCAAATCCTTTCATATGTCAGCTCCATTGCTTCATATATTTGTGACATTTACCCTACAGTTTTGATGACAAGTCCGGACATCATGACACATTCATCCCCTTGCACACCTCACTCCCGATTCACACAAAGCGTAAATACTTACCACAAAAAGCATGTTAGTTCTAGCAATTCGCTTATACTTACCTAGTGCAAATGAGAAAAAGCACAGAAGAAAGAGCAATACATGTAGTATCTTCATATCCTAAAACGAAAACAGAACAATAGTGCAAATGTTTTGCGTTACTTTATTACCTCCCACCAAGTCAACGTCGTGTGTATGTGTGTGTGGTTGTTGGTGTGTGTGTGTGTGTTTGTGTGTGTGTGTGTGTGTGGGGGGGGGGGGGGGGGGGGGGGGGGGGGGCGGGGGGGGCTGCGGGGGGGGGGCTGCGGGGAGAAGGGAGGGGGGGCGCGCGCGCGCGCGCTGACTCCTGGCCAATTAGTCAGGGTACCATTTTTTAACGTCTTTTGGTATGACGGGGCGAGGGGCGAACCACTGAGCGTCCGCCCTCCTCTCCGGGCAGATACCCTATCCACTAGACCACGGATACGATCTACTTGTAATCAATCTGTTCATATCCGGATTTAGATGATTATATTAACTCAAAGTGAACATTAAAAAGTACATTTTCAGATGCACCCTAATAAGGTTGATTGGTATCTCAAGTTCATTCTACAAACATCAAAACGTACATCTGTTCACAATGTCATATATAGCTATTGACCAAGGTATAAACAGAACTACTATTGACCAAGTTAAAAACATAACTACTACTGACCAAGGTTTAAATATAACTACTACTGACCAAGGTATAAACATAACTACTATTGACCAACGTATAAACATAACTACCATTGACCAAAGTATAAACATAACTTCTATTGACCAAGGTATAAACATAATTACTATTGACCAAGGTATAATCATAACTACTATTGACCAAGGTATAAACATAACTACTACTGACCAAGGTTTAAATATAACTACTACTGACCAGGGTATAAACATAACTACTACTGACCAAGGTTTAAATATAACTACTATTGACCAAGGTATAATCATAACTACCACTGACCAAAGTATAAACATAACTACCATTGACCAAAGTATAAACATAACTACTATTGACCAAGGTATAAACATAAATACTATTGACCAACTTATAAACATAACTACTATTGACAAAGGTATAAACATAATTACTATTGACCAAGGTATAAACATAACTACTAGGCAAATTTAATAGAAATTATGAACTACTATACATCGTTTGATTCATAGCACATTTAGATTTGCCTTAGTCCGTGCTTGAATACCTGAGGATATTGACTATCCGAACATTGAAATATCAGATAAAGCATTTAGATAGTGTCGGTTTTATCAGTTTCACTAATCAATATCCTAGCTCTTTTGGATTTGCCGTATTTTTTGTTCGTTTGTTGTTTAACGCCGCCTACAGGAAACATATTAACTGTATCTACATATACACAACGACCATTTAACATAACTACCCTGTGGGGTGTACAGCTGTGTGGCGTTAGACAACAAACACTTACTGTTTTATGCAATGTGTGGGAGTGGTCGGCGCTACTGGTTTCTTATAAATTACATACATGCATAAGAATCTCTGCACTTGTACACAACAGAGACGTAGTTCAAAATTAACATTTTGTTGTCTCAACAAAAGCCGTAAAAAGGCTTTCGTGTCACTTGATTTTCTGATCCATCACCTCATTGTCTAGTTCGTGTACAGGCCACCGTCGGAAACACCTGGTGTCTTCACTGATTTTCAGTGGAATCTGTTTCGGCAGATAATCGAGACAGATTATTACCTGACGTTGACGTACGCGTGTTATATTTACTCGTACACTTTTTAGTAGTTAGAGTCCATACAAAAGAAATATCTTTATCTTAACCATTTTCAAGAGGCAAATCCACCTGCCATTTTAGAGCTATGCTTACTCAACCATGAATGATCACATTTAATATCAGTCAATTCATACTACTTTTACCTTAAACAGTATGTTCCATGTAAGTTGCGTTATTCTGTCTAAATGAATTTCCTATACTTTTCGCCGCTGTCTAGTATCACAGTTTATAATTCATCATATTGTGTGTCACACTAGGCTACACATATATCTAGAGCCAGTGTGCCAGTAGCTTAACTAATTCTTTTGAACAGTAAAATACTTCC